ACTTGCCGTTTTTTCACACAGCTACACTTGTCATGGAAAACACGCACCAACCATACGCATGAACGCCGGCTAGTGTTGTTGCACATGTCACCACCATGCTAGCAACGCGCCCGCCTGGTTGCTACTTTGCTGCATGATTCAACCCACCACGGAGTACACACCCCGCCGCTTTGCTGCTGCTGCGGATGTACAGCAGTACTGCTGTACAGCAGTAGCTACGTGCAGCAAGATCCGCTCAGCAATCGTAGACTCACGGTGCTTGGGCGACAAGCTCCGCCTTCGCATGGGCTTCTCCAGCTCACTTGTCCAGTTGTCCGCGTCTCCGAGCGCTTCCGCCTTCGTCTCATACTTGAAGGCGGTGTTCTTGCGAATGCCCATGGCATGTGGCCGTGGGTGATACGTGCATCTGAGCCTCCAACGCTTCGTGTTGCTGCACTGCATTGCGCAAACTTGCGATACTTTGCGTTTGTGGGTGTCAACGTTGGGATCCACACTTTGTAGTGGCTCCATTGTGGAGGGTCTCCTTGCGTACGAGACGCGTGTGCAGAGATACTCAGCTGGTTGTACAGCAGCACCGGTGCAGCAGGAGCTGCGACAACGGCTGAGATTTAAAAAACAAAAGGCGGCGTAATTATGTTTTTTGTCCCCGTTTCGGGAAAAGCCTGCATATCATCGAAATATTTGGAGGCTCTTCATTGGCTGAGGCACGTAATAGCCCATATCTTCCCAGCGAAGCCTTCAATCAAAATTCCGGCCACGACGATTTGTTCCTTTACTAGTGGGGGTCACTATAATACTGCGTTTGTCAACATTATGTACAAAATTCGTCTGGCAGGAGTGGTTGAATAATTTTTGGTCCATTTCCCTGAACCAGCCTATAGAGACAGCACGTGTAGTGTACATGATGTACATATCGCATGCATGCATGTATTTCGGCTGTATATCGTTGTTTTCTCATTCAGATGGTGTGCGAATGAAATGCCTTGGTAACATGCTGTCCGGGTCAGTAGGACACGGCAAGCACCTCAACATTCCATTTCAGTCAATTTCAACCATCATCATCATCAACACACTCGATAGAGACCACCATCAATCTCGTCTCCTACACGGGGTATACTTTCGGCGCGTAAGGAGTCGAATATGCCATGGGACGTACTGTAGTACATGGACTTGGTCGTGCGCGTGCGTTGACGTGCGTTTTTTTTTTTCTCCTATCAGTGGACTCTGTCGTCTGCCTCTCTGGCCCCTATCCTCCACTTCTACCAGCTAGACGACCCAACCGGGGTCACATAGGAGGTAGGAGGGGGGGGTTGGACCTCCTCCTGCGGTGCCTTCCTGAGATATTTTTATCGCGAGAATGGTACAGCAATCTCTCCCCTCGCGACTTAAGAAGTCGATCAAGTTTACTAACAACGAGCTTTGCAGCGCATCGCTTCCAACGGAGACCAGGATTTAATTAGCGAGAAAAAACTCACTCTGTCGGGACTCGAACCCATGACCTGGCCCTTAGCAGGCCGCGAGGCTACCTACTAGGCCACCGGGGCGACCGGTGGACATGTGTGTATATGCCCAGCCCCTGCTAATTGTAGGGTACTGAGCTGCAGGCTACTGAGCGTTCAAACTTGAAACTGTGGGCTGGAGATACGTCACACGTGTACTGCTGTATGCTGCTGCTGCTGGTGTGGCCTGAGCGTTTGATTACGTTCGCGAAGAGGGAGAAAAAAGCCACGGCGAGAACAAAATATCTGATGACGTTACTCGACGTTGACGTTCTCCGCCGAAAGCCCTCCAATCGGTGTCCTTAATCTTCTATGAACGAACAGCCCGGCGAAGACTCTCCGGAATGCAGGGGGGAATCGGCCCGTTTCGCCCGATTTGGGCGCTCTTCGCGGCGGTGCAGTGCTGGAGGCCGGCGAAGGCTGAGCCTCGCGACGGCCGGGCAGCTGTGGAAAGACTTTGCTGGAGACGCCCTGAAGCGGAAACGTCCGCCAGAGCTCTGTGGCGGGCCAGCGGAAGAATCGGCGCTTACGTCTCGGGTTTAGTGCAAGGCCTAAACTCGCCGCCGCGCTCTCAGCGCTCCGGTTCTGCGCTCTCAGCGCTCGAGAGCTGAAGCATAACTTGTCTACACCTCTATGTAGAGACAAGCCATATTTTACATTTTTCCTCGTTGACGTTTTGTTTTGTACGGGAAGGTGGAGATTAATAGACTCGGATTCGGTTCTGGCTGGATGCCAACTTGACAGTCCACCGGAGAGTCACCAATGAACGAAAGCCGATGTATAGTAGATTGGGGGGGGGTAATGAGCCGCACTCGACTCAGTACCTTGCAGTAGTCTATTTTTCTGCGATGTTTTTTTGCGGTGGTTGCAGTCGATTATTTTGAATTTTGAACTTGAGTCATGAACAAAAAATTCTAAGGAAACGAGGCTCTTGCAACGAACGGCCGTAGGTGACACACGATACCACACCCTGGACCAATTTTCAAAGCTCGGTTGCTCCACACCACACAGAGTGGCGGTGCCGATAATGGCGGTGTGAGAACCGTCCCGTCGAGAACTTTCCGACAACGTCTTGCTGGTACAGCTTTACAATCGATACAAGGCTGCATTGCCTCAGTAACCTGGCTTCGCCATCAAAGGAGGAGGGAGCAGGTGGCGACGAGCTGAACTGGGCTGGTTGACCCCTTCGGCGCGAGAATTTTTATTTTTCAGACCAAGAACCTTGAGTGCAACGAGGGAGAAAGCGAGGAACCGACTGGGAAGGACAGCAACGGGAGCGTGTACGGACGGAGCAGGTCGAGTGGCGTTATGCTCGGGCTGACTACAGCGGCGCCGGACGGAGCAGCGGCACCGGAGCATGCGGGCGACATCGACCCGTGGCGCACGGACAAACATTTATATCTGATCTGTGTTGTCAATTTTTCTCGTTTTTTTCCTGATTTTCGGTGTTGGTTCTATGTGATGACGTCGTCACTGGTTTTGTAGAGAGACCCGTCAGAGATGGCGTGGCTAACCCGGGTGCCTTGGTTATGTGCCTGATCGTGGAAGACCCCTTCAATGTGGAACGATTCTTAGCTATTGTCGATATTTTCACTGCGTGCCTAACACAGACGATCGGGAGAGGTTCGGGTGATTGTCCATTGCAATCATGGCTTTGGTTGGTTGTTCTTTTTCACTGTACGTCCGCAGACACATTCTGACAGCACTTCAGACAGCAGCTTTGTGCCCCGCCAGCTTCTTGTTCCATGCCTACCATGGTGTTTTTGTACAGACAGCACTTCAGACAGCAAGTATGCTGTAGTCGGCAATCATTCGTTTTGGTACAGAGTGGGACAAGTAGGGGGTGATGTTGCTGTAGTCGAACGGTGAGACGGACGTGTAGTTCAGTTTTGGGCACGCGTACGGTGCTGCAGGGATTATATATAGGTGTAGTAGTACCTCTTCGGGCTCTTGTACACCTTTTTCTTGCTACGTGTGCGTGTTCTTTAGATCCTCAGATGGCTCCAGCACTTTCGTGACCACGGGCCGAGAGTCTTTGCTAGATTTTGGCATTTAGCAACGCAACTGGCATACGGTTTAATGTGAAGTCAACAACAACAACAACAACAAACAAGAGGTGCGGTATCTCATGTCACCTACGGACGGTACTTGTGTGCGGACGTTTACAAACGTTCCCCTACGGGTTTGGGTTTTCGGTGATTTTTCGGCACAGAGTGACTCAGCAGCAATTGTAAAGTTTCCACGCGAGCTGTGTGTATGCAACGTCTTGTGTGGCGGCTGATGGAGGCCACGGAGACATAAGACCCACGGAAGCTGATGTGGCGAGGGCCGGCAGTGCATGCATGCGAGAAAACACACCATGCCGCCAACGAAGAAAACTCGTATTGTGCATTTTTTCCCGTAGCACAGGTTTAGTTTCCAGGTGACCCCTCCCCCCACACCGAAGCAACAGCAATAGTAAAGTTATCCGCCACGAGCTATGTCCATGCTCCGTCTTGTTTGATGATTAACACATACCAGGAGGCTGTAGTACGCTCAGAAATTGCGTGCGCGGGAGTCTGGCACAACCTGGAAAAAAACCACCGCGTCTGCTGGGATCAGTTTGTATTTTGTTCGTCCTAGGCGCAGATTTGGTTTACCGATGATCCCTTGCCCACACCGAAGAAACAGCAATGACAATGACATTCGCCATGAGCTGTGTGTGTGGCTCCCTTCCCCCGATAGTGCTGTCTTGCCCCTCCCAGCGTTGTTTAACTGGGTGCTTCCTCTGTTTTTCCTGGTCTGAACCAAGCAATTTGCTTGTGTGCGGGTGGAGGATCTCTATTTTTTTGTCCCTCCATTACCTCTGCCAACTCCCCAGGGATGGGGGTACTTACTCCAATGGTTTTTGGTGACAAATGCCGGTGAAGCAAGGCCATCTGCTGTCGGAGCACGACCAAACCGGTGTGGTGAAGAGTGCCCTATTTTTCTTCCTCTTCACAAGCCAGCAGATCGTGAAGCGATGCTCTAAAGACCTCGTTCTGATCGAAAAGGAGAGCATACTCAGGCGGTGGTTAATTCCAAGTTGGACCCCTGGTAGATAGAGCCTCTTTCCCTTCTTGGGATGAAGGGAAATAAGGTCGCGCTTCGCGCTCCGCGGCACGTTGTGACCATTACGATGACGTAGTTGACAGTTTTTGAACTAAAAGAGGGGTGCGCTCCACTGAGCTCGCCTTAACCACCCAATAGTGTCCCTGTTCTCATGTTGAAGAAACAACAGCTCGGCATGGTGCCAAAATACCTTTTGTGCGTGGGGAGCTTAGAAGCTTGAGAAGTGAACAGCCTGATTCGAAAGATCGTTGGCCCTGACCGCTAACACGCTCGATCTTGTCCCTAGTCGTTCGCTCGGGGCATTATTTCCCGATGCAACCCCCCCCCTTTTGTATCAACAATACCTTTTTTTAGCGCACACGGGGTGGGAGCTACGGCGGAAACTTCACCCCTTTGTACTGGACGCCCAAATCGGGACAGTGTGGAGACACAGCACTCCAACGGTTGTTTGCCGCACGGTAGTCATCACTAGGCCCCGTGTGTGAACACCACGTGGGAAACGTTGGCCTACCATGCTTGCGTGAGGTGGTCCGCTGTGTGATGTACGGTGTGATGCCTCTCTTCGGCCTCTGACTTGCGGTACACATGGTAGACGGTCTACAGACTTCGGACATCATGGGCGCCCTCCTTCTCAGGAATGTGCTGTAAGGGTGGTGGGTGAAGCATGTGCACGGCATTCCAAGGGCACGAAGCTGAAAAAGAAGTTCCGACTAATTGTTGCGACATGACGGAAAACTTGAACGTCTTGTACTTTCATTCAACCATTTGCGAACTTGGAATGCCAATTTTCTTCAGCCCTCCTGGTACTCAGTATAGGTTGATGGGTCCAGAATATAGCGCGTCCGCTCATTGTGAGAGGCTGCACAGTCCCGAGGGCCTAAGGCTGGCTTGGCTTCAGTTTGGAAAGTCTCCCCAAAAGCACGGGGGACACTTTCCATACTGAAGCCAAGTCACCAATTAATTCCAGTGCAATTTTACCAACAAGGGTACCCGCAAGTTGGGAGATTGTGTACAGCAAGTCAGAGGCCCAGGAGAGGCATACAGGCGTCACACAGCAGTGTATCACACAGCTAGACCCAGGTTTCCCACGCACGTTTCACGCAGCGGAGCATAGTGACGACCACGGTGCGGTAACAGGCAAAATGTGAGTGCTATGTCCCCAAAGTGTCCCGATTGATAATGTGTGGTATGACTCAGAAGGCCAGTGAATGGTTGAATGTTTGATGTTGTGTGCTACTACAGGGCAGTTCCGGTGGGTATATCCGACGTGTATCAGGGGGAGGCAGGGCCGTAGCAAGGAAATACAGCGTACAAAGAAAAGGCACGTGCCTGACGCGCTAGTCTCTGCCACACTTCTGTAGCTACACATATTAATGTACATCATCTGTCTAAATCAACTATGCCGACCCAAAGACATGATCATAGTCGAAGCAACAATTTGAACGCAAGCAAGCATGGCGTGCCAAAATCCTACCATGCCTTGGCCACAATCCTTGACCTCACCTGCCTTGCTATCGGTACTTCAAGGTAGCATGTTAGACATTTTTTTCGGGTTTAATCTACACACTGTTGTTTGTAATTATTGCCGTTAGCTTTGCTTACGGTTGAAAAGTCTACAGCAGCAAAGCAGAACATGCGCGAGGCGGGAGCAGTACAACATGAGTACCTCGTTTACGGCATTACCGTAAATTCCCTGTCAGTGTACGTGGTCATGAGTTGGGGTTATCCAACAAAGTCTTGTCCAACTAGCCGCGCGGTTCTTTAGAGGTGACAGTGCCTTGCGCAGATTCGCCCGGGTGTTGGAGATTTTTCACGTACTTGACGGTGCTGTAACTCGGCTCGCTCATGGAGTCACGAGCTCGCGATTTGGTCTGTTGTGATGTAAGATTGGCACGCCGAGGTTGGCGAAGACGGCCGACAATAACGCCATTTCAAGACGAATACAACCGGTTCACCGCACCGCACCTTCGAGCTCAGTGACTGACATAATGACTGTTTATCTATTAGCGTTTGGAGTCTTGAGCTCGCGACAGGGGCGTTGTGATCGAGACTGGCCCGCTCCAGTGGGCGAAGACCGGCGAAAGTATGTCTTGTGACTGCAGACTGATGCACCGAAAAATATGCATTTTGCGTCTCAGAGTTGAAGGAGTAATTCTATACTCTATCTGTCAAGCCGTGTGTCCCCTTGTTGGTGGTAGAAGTCTGTATATAAGCCTAGTGCTGAAAGAATTTTCGCTTTTGCTTCAGTATGGCAAAGTATCCCCAATGTATTTGGGCACACTTTCTGTCTAAAACCAAGTAAGCCGTTATCCCTCGGGACTGCACAGCCTCGCCTCATGAGCGGACGGGATTCTTTTGGATCTATATAACCAGTAGCTAACTGCGCACTGTTCAAAGTTGACGAAGTATCGTTCTCGACGGATGGCTCAACAGCATAAACTCACGTGATGCGTACCAGATGTGTGCCTACCTGTATACCACGCAGTAAGACCCATGCACACCCGGCTATAATAGCACGGTCCTGTAGCAGTATTCACGGGTGCTGTGCGAGCCATTATGCACGCCCTGCTGTTTACGGGTTCACCAAGAATACAAGCGATTAGACACGAACACGAAAATCAGTGTTATACGGACGATATGATTTTTCTCTCGAACGGAACATTCCCGAGTTGTGGTCTCGCTGAAAGGATCCTTCTTGTTTCTCTGCTGTACTTGCCTTCATTGTTGAAGCTAGAAGGAAGGGTTTAGCAATACGAAAATCCTTCGCACTGCCGTAGACTCGACCTCCCAACCTTGGCTCTAGAAGGTACATTTTCGATTTTTTATCGACTACAGACCGTCGGGGCAAACCCCGCCCTCGCGTGGCGCACTTTCGGATAATATTTGGAAGTGTGCTGTGATATTTCCTTGTGCTTTTTTTGTCGTTCTCAGAACTATAAGATCGATACACTGGCCAACCTTTTCGTATTCATTTCACCCAGAACTTGCAGGATGGAGCGAGAACGAGAACGCACAGCAGAAGATACACAACTTGTTCTTCAACTCACCAATCCCGATCAACGAGAGGGTGCCTTGCTGGAGCTGAGCAAGAAACGCGAGGCCTTCACGGATCTCGCTCCCATTTTATGGCATTCGTATGGGACAATCTCCGCTCTCCTGCAGGAAATGGTGGCTATCTACCCGCTGCTTTCACCCCCCACGCTAACTCCTCACGCAAGCAATCGGGTATGCAACGCCCTCGCCTTGCTGCAGTGCGTGGCGTCCCATCCTGAGACGAGGGCGTTGTTCTTGAAAGCCCATATTCCCCTTTACCTCTACCCTTTCCTCAACACTGTGAGCAAGAACCGTCCGTTCGAGTACCTTCGGCTGACAAGCTTGGGAGTTATTGGAGCGCTGGTGAAGATGGATGATGCGGAAGTCATCAATTTTCTGCTGCAGACCGAGATAATTCCGTTATGCTTACGAATAATGGAGACGGGGAGCGAGCTATCCAAGACTGTGGCTACGTTCATCGTCCAAAAAATTCTGCTGGATGAGCACGGGCTCGAGTACATTTGCCAAACGGCCGAGCGGTTTTACGCTGTCAGCACGGTGCTCGGTAACATGGTGGCCGTTCTCGTGGAAAGCCCGTCTGTGCGTTTGCTCAAGCATGTCGTGCGCTGCTATCTGCGGCTGTCGGACAACTTAAGAGCGCGCGAAGCGCTCCGGCAATGCCTCCCAGACTCCTTGCGGAATAACACCTTCACCAATGTGCTCAAGGACGATGTTTCAGTCAAACGTTGGCTGACATCGTTACTCTTCAACTTGACGGAGCAGACTTGATTAGAGGTGAGCTGTTTGCCCGTATTTGACATTCTGCCTAGATGATTCTCAAGCGTTTGGCGATAGAGTGAAGTAAGTCTAGAACAACCCGTGATGACTCACCGTTGTTTGAAACATTCATGTTTGAAACATGTAACCGACCACCCGGTGTGCAGCTGTTTCATCTTGAACAAGATAATGTTAGCTTGCATGCTTATTATTGTGTCACCCTCCGTACGCTTGCGACTGACATTCTTCTTGACAGATCCAAGGAATGGAGTCCTCACCTTGCAGACGCTGGCAAGCGGCCGTTAAGATGGGAAACCATAAAATCTGGTGACAGTGTCTCTTCTAAGTAGGATTCGGAGTTGCTGGCGTCATCAGAACCGGCGCACTCTGTAGGTTAATGCCGGGTTGTTGGTTCATCAGACTGTTTAGACGTATGCTGGTCGTGAGTAGCTCCGGCGGCGACCTGTAGGCAAAATACCATGAAGTTGTCGCGGCACCGGCTTCAGACGCAAGGAGTGTTTTCACTACATGAGCATGGAGTGCGCTGTAACCGGGAAAGATGATGGCACTAGTCAGCGCAGTCCCGCTGCAACTATACTCCAAGCAAGCATTAGGCAAGTCAAGCTTTGCAGGAACAACCGCGAAAGACTTTCCACAACCATGCGGGGTGCCTTGCAGGTCTCTCATCGTAAGAGAGTGGGCGGAGGATGCGAGTGCCGATATTCAAAACTTAAACTCAGCGCACGATTCCAAGAAAACGTTGTTTAGGACCGCTCAGTCAATCAATCGAAACCGAATTCTGAAGCCTTCCCTCTGAGGACGCTGTTTAGTCTGTTGGGGAATTAATTTCAACAGTTAAGGGGGTGTATGTCCAAGTAGATTTGATCACTTTTCATTCCTCGGCATTTTTTCTCTCTCCCTAGCAAGCCTTCTCTCGCGATTCCTTCCCAGGGGCACGCAGAAGGCTCTTCGGTACATTAATGCTCGTGCCCGGAGTCGGCAGGCCACCGTGGCGCATGTGGTTGATGCTAAAGTCGCGCAAATTGGCTCGATACCCAGGGGACGCGTTCCGCGACGGCAAAGCCTGCCGAACCAGTTAACGTCTCTGTTTCATACTATCTGCTAGGAGATGTTTCCCCCGTTAGTTTTTGAGGACGCGGTCACATGATTTTTAGAATCATTTCGATGGTGTGGTTGCTAATCGGCCTATTCGAACACTATCACAGCAGCCTTATATACGGCGTGTCTCTGTGCAGTATGTAACGTGCATGTTCACCCACAGAATATGAGGCAAATGCACGCTGGAGCTGCGCGACTTTTCCCTGACTTCTCACCTCCGGTTTGAAATTGTACATTTGGTCCGTTCGGGCAAATATTCACAATCTTGTTTTTCGCGATATCTTTCGAAAAAAAACGATTTGGAAAGTGAAACAACTTTGGGCGTGACCGCGGCGTCGAGCTTCGTCGATATCCGATGAGTTTTTGGTGATTGGGTGAAATGCGACATTTTTGACCATAATGACCCACGGAGCCCCCAAAGTACACCAAGACCCCCCCTCAACCCCTCCCTTCTACACGCATATGCCTTCAGAACATCAGTTAAACCGTTGTCAATCCATATTTACATTATTTACACGTTACACATGTACATACATACATACAATACCGCCGTTTACTTTCTACTCAGCCCCTGGCTGGTGAAGGTGCTGTAAACAAAGCATGCAGCAATCACATCCGTTCTCTCTAAGCAAGTCCGATGCCAAAAGAGACAGCTATAGCGTTGAGTTGGTGACCATGACGAACGCCTCTACCGTGCCTAAACGCGAGAAACCAACCAACACTACAACACACCGCGACATATAGATACGTACCCTCCCCACTCACGCCTGAGCGTGCCCGCCCAACCATTCCTCAAAAATTCATCGGGTTGCGCAAAATCCACAGCCGTAGCTGCTCCTTCCGGAAAGCTCTCTTGCTCGTCCACGTGTTGAAGGCTTCCCTGGTCGCTGCCATCGACTTCTTGCGCACTTCCTGCGCAGCCGCAAGCGCCTTCGCCTCGGCTGCGTTCTTCTGCTCCGGCGTCTTCCCCGCCCCCCTCGCCTGAATCACGGCATCTCCCCTGGCGGTGGCTTCTCGGTGCTTCCCCCACTCCTTGAGATCGCGGTACTCGAGGTAGTCCTCCAGGCCCTCGTCGTAGGCTTCGATGTACAGCCACGTCACCCTGCTCCATGCGCGGATAAACCGTGCGGGTACGCCGCTCAACGCACCGGGCAAGACCTGGAGCATGTGGCGAAGGGAATACTCGCAGTGGAGGCGGAGGAGGTGCTTGATGTACCCCCCGTATCGCTCGATGGCGTTGAGCTCTGGGTGGTACTTCGGCAAGAAGATGCACAGGTGTCCGTGTGCCTTGAAGAGCTTCTCAACCATGTTGAGCTCCTCCCTGAACGCGTTGAGCTCAGACAGAACGCGCACGACGCAGCAGCGACGCCTCTTGCCTGCTTCACCAGCTGCCCCGCTCCCACCCGAGTCCCCGTCATCTCCGCCGTCCTCCTCTCCCTGCCCCGTGTTGTCCACCACCTGCTGCCGCCCCTCTCCACCGCGGTTGAAGGCGGTAATGGCTTGCCTTGTTGCCGCCTTTTCCGCCCTGCACGCGCTGCAATCGTGAACGCGTAGGGTTGGCTCGCCTTCCCACAGCCCCATCTCCATGAGCAGCTGCTTTCCTCCTTTCGGCAGGCCGATGAGAACGGCGGTGGGGCCAGTCGTCGTCGTGGTCGTTGGTGTGCATGGGAGAAATATTGGCGCCTTCATGGTCGGAAGAGGGAGGAGAGTCGTTGCCTACAGCAGGGTCCGCAGGGGGCGAAGGGGCCTTCCGAATCGTGCCGTCGGCGTTCCTTGGCAGCTTGCGCTTACCCTTTGGGCGACCCATGTGCCCGGAGCGCGTGTGCGTCTTTCGTTGCGTGCGACAAGGGTGTGTGTGTGTGTGTCCTCTGGTGTGTGTGTGGCGGGAAAAAATTCCCCGAGGGCGTGTGAAACCACCCGAAATATCTCCGAAACCCGAGTTTTTTTTTGAAATCGGAAAAAAGGCATCGGTGGGAAATCACGAGAGGAATCGATTGCAGCACTTTATTTTTGAATCGTACGGTTGGATTGTCCCCAAGAAACTAAGCAAAATCCCCTCCAATATCCGGTTTTTTGCCCATAACTCCGTTATTTTTTGTCAAATTGGAAATCGGAAAAAAATCATCGGTGGCAAATCACGAGAGCTGTCCAAATCCGGTCTCAGATTTTGTGTCTGCAAAAAACACCGCCCTCCAGAAAGTAAGCAAGATTTCTTGAATATCTGAACATATCGAGCGAAAGACGGAAAAAAAAAATCTCCGTACGAAGATGCGCCTTGAAATGTCGATTTACGCGGTATTTTCAGATTTCGGAATAAGTACCCCCACCCCGAGAAAAGTGCACCTTTGTGCAGGGGAAGATATTGTGAATATTTGCCCGAACGGACCATACATGGAACATGCATCTTCACACACGTATATCGAACATAGAATATTGCAGTTGGAATTGTATGGTTGATGAGAACGAGTCCATGTCAGTCACTTACTTGTTCGGATCTGTTTCTTCACTGTGTCCGATGTTCTCCGAATTAATGCGGGCCATCACCGCACGCTTCTAGCACGTAACAGACAGCAGCACAACGTTTTTATTCACACATACTTCGCGATGTACATCTACATCAGTATTGCTGCTTGTCGGGGCTGGCTATTTTATGTGGCACCCACTCTGATATGACCTTTCACCTCTAGTTTGCGATTGGATCACAACTTCAAAAAATTATTTTCCTAATTGACAAGTGTAGTTTCGGACTCAAAATTTTTCCGAAATATGGAAACATATTTTGAGTTAAGCCGTCGCTCTGAGGATCGCTCCTGACAGTCTCGCTAGAACCCAAATATACAAATTTGAGAGGCGAGGGAGGCTCGGTTTGTGGAATTTTTTTCACGATTTTTCGATTTAGGAACCTTCTTCGAAGTAACACATCACACCCACCACCGCACGCACACACAGCATTCTGCTGACAACATGTCAGCGCGGCCAAAGAGAAGGCCAGCGCTCAGGGAAAGGTTTTGGAGTTGGCGCGCCACCAACACAAAACAGGGAGGCTGCACGGTCAAAGTTGGCTTTGTTTCCGGCTGGCTTTTGACGTCGGCAACACGCCCGTCAGGCTGAGGCAAGGGGGAGGAAGAGCGTACGAACCTAAATGTGGTGGCAACGCCGCCAGCAAAGAAGAGCAGAGAGGAGGAAGAGCACGTAGTGGCCACCTCGTGAAGGCGGGCGCGTCCTTCCGTGCGCAAGAGTATTGTCTCTGGTGTCTACTAGAAAGAAGAGCGTTTGACTCGGATGTGCCTCCGGGTCCCAAACTTCCCTGCTTTCTCCCGAACGCTTGAAACGCGACATATCACTTAGTTCAGAGGCTGTCGTCGGCCAGTGTACGTAATCACTTCCTGTCTTCGTACTGGTGTGGTGCGATTTCGTGTGCTGGGGTTGAGGGAGCGACGCAGACATGGATACGCGCACGCACGCACGCACACTCAACAGCAGCAGCAGTGACAGCCCCTTGTCATCGAGCAAGGTGCACAGCTAGCTGTCACGTAGGGCACCACGAAAAAACAACAGCACCTGCGGACGGGGGAAGTTCGTGGGAGGACTGTTGATTCACAGCCAATCACATGAAGCCGCTTAAATCTGAAGAGTAACACCTGCACGAGTTTCCAGGAAACGTTCTTATCTCAATGTCTGCTCGCTTAAACCGGAAAATTTGGAGCCCCAGTCCGAAACGGTGTAATATATACTGTCGATGGTTGATCAGGCCGGCAGAACCCGCCACAGATTTATTTTTAGATTTTCTTTCCATAATTCGTTGTCTCGGAAAAGCTGCCAGCCAGCACAGCCCGCGAATAAAAGTACTAGAGTTGGAGGTGGAATAGTTTTTTGTGGTGGTTGCACAAAAGTACCTGCAGTAGGCTCGTGCGTCTGTTCATTGGCTGGCTCGTGTGATTTTCTCGTCGTACAGAAGAACGGGGGACGGTCCATCATCACCAGCTAGAGAGGGGGGTGGTATCCATCATCATTCGCTAGAGGGGGGGTGGT